AGAACTATGTTTCAGCAATTTCGATGAGCACTGCAGCGCCGTATTCAATTAACTTTATGTTAATTGACATTTTAACTTATGTAGAGTTACTTAGATCAACTTCAACTCACCATTTTGCTCATAAGCAATCAGCTCATTAACAATCAGCATACGCAATTGAAATGCAAATCAAAATTTTTTAAAAAGGTTTTCAAAATTTTTACAATTAAGTAGCAAAAAACTTTCAGACCCTCATATAAATAAATAGTGTCCAAGGGCTCATACTATTTTTGTCCTGCCCAGAAGCTGTTAAGTTAATAGATTTCTTAGATGAAAAAATTGTATGATTTTTTTCAATTTTTAATTCATAAAAAGAATAGACTCAAACGATTTTGAAACTATTTTAAATTCTTATTGCCGTTGCATCTGAAATAATATTATGCTCTTTTTATTTAAAAATACGGACCACCCTGAATAAGTTTTAATCTAATAATCGGATCTTCACGTTCTTATCTTAATTTCTCGAGGGGATGACTTCAGATATGCTAATAAAAAAGTGCAGACGATAATTCAAGTTACGAAATCAGACAGAAGAACATATTTTCTCTTAATAATACCTTTTCTTGACGGATTCAGACTTCTGACCCCCAAATATAGGGGATAGCAGCTATCTGGGAGATATGGTGTCAATTGTTTGGTCAGGAAAGCCCTCCAAAGTTTGAATCTCTTAATGTTAATTTTACTTTTTGCATATATGAGAAATTTTCCCGCATAATTATGAAATTTGTTTATCCAAAGATAATTCCATGCAAATAATAACTTTTAGTAATCATTTATTATTTTTTATTATTTTGCTTAATAATGGTCTAAAAAATTTTTAATTATAAGGCATACAATTTTGTGCATCCTTTTGAAGAATATATTTTTACATGCAAAACATAAAACGTGTGCAAAATTGGTTGAATAGTTCCTGAGAAACTGAATTTCAAATTTCTGATTTTTAAAATTCGATTTTACTGGAAATATTTGACTGATTTTGCTCAAATTTTGTATTTTATGTTATGTTTTGTAATTATGTTCCCTAAAGTGATACAATAACTTGTGTACCTTACAATACAAAATTTTTTTCGACCATTATTAAATAAAATAATAAATATTTACTAAAAGCTATTTTTCGCATGAAATTATCTTTGGGTAAACGAATTTTATAATTGTATTTTTAAAAATTTCAATTCGCTTAAAAATTTCTCGAAGTATAGCGAAATACACATGCGAAGTAAAGCGAAATACCAAACTTTGGAGGGCTCCCTTGATCAAACTATTGGGACCATATTTCCCAGATTGCGACTACCCTCTATATCTTGGAGCTCAGAAATCCGATTCCGTCGAAAAAAATACCTGTTTACTCAGAGAAAGTACGTTTTCGTGTCTGGTTTCATAACTTAAAATATCGTTTGTACTTTTTAATGAGTATACTTCAAATAATATATAATATTTATTATGTATTATTGGCCGGGATACCTGGTTTGGGAGAACGGGAGTTCCAATCCAGTCGGCCGAGGACTCCCCGTGCAGAAAATGGTGACTGGTACACGTTCAATCTGTCGAGTCACAAAGTCCTCCATGTTCCCATATCAAATTAATACCTCTGGGGATACTGAATTGGAGATTGATCGTGCTCTGGTTCAGGTCAAAATTACGATCTGTTAATGAATGAATGGATGTATGAATGGGCCCGCCCTATAAACAGGTGTTATGTATGGGTGTGGCAGAAGACGAATTCTTGGCCATAGATGGCGCCACTGGAAAACAAGAGCAATCGCACCCCCTCCGCCTTAATGGCCCACAACAACAACATTATATATTACTACTTGAATTCATCTCTTCGAGTCATTAATAGTGAGTCCCAGAACATGAAGATCCAATCATTAGATGAAAAGTCATTCAGAGAGTCCGTTTTTTTTAATTTCTTTTTTAGCACACTATACTTGAAAATGATTAATATACCTTTCCACCCTAAGAAACCTCTCTGCGAACATCCATGCTAACTTTAAAATACTATAACTTCACTTTTCTTTTGGTTTTTATGCGTTTAAGTTTGCGTAACTCGTAAAGTAAAGGGAGTCAGAAACGTTCAGAAATTTTATATATTTATTCGATAAACACAAAAGTTTAAAATTCTGAGTTATATATTGCATACTTTCAGAACATTATTTTAAAAAGAGTACAATGCATAAAAGGCTGAAATCCAATGAGCAAGCGAAGCTAACTCGAATTGCGAAGTAATACAAAACAAACAGCAAAAGCAGTTCCGTGGGTTGGCGAGCGCAGCGAAAGGTGAGTTATCGTTTGAAAAAACACAATATATAAAGATTGCCCGAACAACAATTTGTCAATATTTCGCCACCCATAATTATTGTGCTAAGTTCGGAGACGAAAATTTTTATTGATCTACAAAATCTGCACCAAATTACCTAATTCACCATAATATTTGTGGTTTTTTTTAAAATCTATTTAAGACTTGATAATGAATTATCAGTTGTAAATTAGTTTTGTTAACTCCATATTTTCAGAAACACGAACAATTGTGAAAATTCTTCAATGTATATTTTGTATTCATTTATTTAATTACAAATGTGAATATTTAACGATATTTTTCCAAAAATATAATTTGATAAATATATTTTCACTTAAAATAAGAAGTTATTTCCATTTTGTTGAAATCGTTCCATTAAAAGAAATAAATAAGCATAAGTAACAACTTTTAAAGAACCATTAAACTTATCGAAAATGATACTATATATACGACTATTTCCACATATTTTTTATTTGATAGTTCTTTTTGAATCCGATATACTTTTCACTCTTTTTTCAAGAAAATTATTATAAGAAAATAATCTGCTGAACATTTATAAACTAATATTTGTAATAGACTAATTGAAAAATAGGCCTAGTTCTGTGCCAAATTTATTTCAATTTGTAGCTAAATTCATTTAATATCGTTTTTATATAGTTTATTATTAATTTTCAGGTAATATTTTAATTTTTGATAGATATTTTGATTGTTAATAATAGATATTTTAATTCAGAATGGATTTTAATTATTTATACATAATATTTGACATTATTTTATTTCATTTAAATTTAAATGTTTTAATTACGCGATATAGCGTTTTCCTCGCATTAATAAAAATACTTGAAAAAACAATTACACTACATAGTATAGTAGTATTGATTTTATAGTATAGTGGTTAGTGGTATTGATTTTATAGTATAGTAGTATTGATTTAGAACACACGAAAAATTTATTTTTATCACTACGATGGAAGAGAAGAATTAATATTTGACTTTATAAGTTTAAAGCTACCACAAATTTTTAGCGTGAATATTATATTCTTAAAAGAACATAGTTTTAAAATCTATTTGAAAAATTCAAATCATTCCGCTGACTTACAAAGGTAACGGAAAGAATTTTCAATACTATGCTGCCAATGTTTATAATACTAGAGCGCCATCTGTCGGTTCGGGTTCAACGACCTGAGTTTGCTCTGGAGTAGTAGCCGTTCGATCTTTTGAAAGAAAAAAAAGGCGGAAGTAAACAACACTGTCAGGTGATTACTACCGCTCCTGCTCGCATGCCCCACTCCGATCTCCAGGATTTCTAAGGGATGCATTGATCTCACGCTACGCTATGTAGCTATTTTCACTTTTTTTCTTCATTTTATGAAGAAATGAGGAAGAGGGGATCTAAACTATCCGTTGATAAAGAATCATTTACTAGGGAGAAGAGGCCTAAAAGGGACTAAATAGTTTCCTTTTCAAGTTGGTTTTGAACAGTTATGATAGGCGAGTAAAAAAAAAGATAATGTTTTTTTTTCATTCAAAAATTTAGAGTTTTTTCTATAGGAAGTGGATTCAGGAAGCGATAGAGTATTTCTTTTTCTAGAATATCGAGAAGTTTAAAGATCGGAATTTGGAAATATTTTTTTTTGTGGTGGTATTTTTAATATAAGCGTTTCTTTCTATAAATATTTACTTTTTTTTACAAAAGTAATTAAAGTTAATATTTTCTAATTAATTATTAAATACTGTTTTTGTAGACGATGTTGTAATAAGTGTTTCTTTAAAAAATTTAAGAAAAGAAATATAATTATTAAGTTTTTAAATAAGTGAAATTCATTTTAATTTAATTTTTTATTTAATTTATAATTTTAGAACTGTAAGTTATATGGCTTTTTTAGCAAAAAAAAAATTAATCCTTTAATCTAAGTTAACGGATCTTCTTAAAAAATGTATTTAATAAGTAGTCGTACTAATTTTATTATTTAAATTATTGTAAATGTTAAAAACCTTTGATTGGTTTAATTATCTGTTAAGGCATTGAAGAAAAGTAAAATTGTACTAAATTTATTCCATTAGGATAAATTGACTTTTTAAATTTTACTGATTTAATGATTAATTATAAAGTTGTTACATTATTGCCTAACAAATTATGTTTCTTTTTCTCATTCTTCCTATTTAGGGGTGTGGCGTTGTGATCTGCCATCAAATTGTGCCACAACAATTTACTTCCTGTTCATGTCGAAGTGAGTGGCACAGTTTCCCCCACCTCCACGAGTCAGCGGCTCTCACAGCATCCACTGGAACTTGCAGTCCAACGGAGAATGATCTGGCTTCTAACTGCTCCCGCTTATCCTTTGAGATGAAAAATTGTTTTTCATCCACCACTTGAGTATTCCTGAAAACTTTTATTCGCATTGATTTCGATCTTATATAGCTAGGTGAAAATATTATTTAGTTTGGATGTTTGTTTGTATTTTATCGTTTGCGTGAATGCGGAAATGAAAAATCGTCTGCTTAAAATATTTTTCTGGAATTGGTAACTTTCAAGTATTTTAATGCTGTTTAGCTTTTGATATTTTTAGTCCGTTTTAAAATTATTGACGTAATATTTTTAATATTTATCCAATGATTATTAAGAATCAGATTTAATTTTTTTTCTCCAAATGTTATATATTTTGATGTAATATATTTTATCGTTTGCACATTTGTCTGAAATATTTTACTCTTGACAGTTCCAAAAAAGTTCGTATTTGCATAGTTATTTTGAATGAACACTATATTTATCACATATGCACTTTTTTGTTTAATTTTTGTCGAAAGTTTTGTATGCGTAAGTTGAAGCTATTGAAAGATATGATAAATTTTCCAAAAATTATTATTTGCCTGCTATCGAATTATAAACATTGCTGGATTCAAGATCCTCCTCCGAAATAATTATTTTTAATCAAGAAAAAAAACTTTGAGCACTTATTTGACTTACACTTCAAAATGCTGCCTTTAAGTTACGGATTAGAAGTTATCCACTTTTTGGAACATCACAAGCATCATGCTCATCACAGACATTATCATCAGCATCACCACCACCACCATGGAACAGGTCAAGAGAACATCAGGTACATTTTGTTTATTTTTTATTTAATTTTAAATATTACTGTTGACTATTAAAATAGTTGTTAATTGTTATAAACGTTAAGTACATACATAGTATTTAGACACGTACATCAACTAATTGTATTTTAAAAAAGTAAAAATCTTTAAAACTGCTTTTATTCTTTTTAATTAATATCATCTAATTGTGACACAATCATCAAAATAAATTATGATAATTACATATATGCATAGGAATGAGATATTTTTTGTGCTCCTTTTGCGTTGTGTGTGCTCCTATAAATTTATATTCATCACTGCTTTGTTTAATTATTATTTTCATTATAAACCTTTATATGATGATCATTTACTATATTACTATTTAGTTTATGGCTATTAAAATACTTTTATCCTTTTTACAAACAGTTTTGTTAGGGGAAAAATAAAATAAATATTAGTTATTTCTATTGAAATGTTTTTTATTAATACTATGTCGCTATTGATTTTACTGCAAAGAATTTGCAAACATTGTCTACGACTCTTCAAGTATGGTCAACTTGAAATAAAAGTTAGGGCAAAGAAGTAATTTTGTATAAATGCTGTTGTTTCGCTTTAAGTATTAGGAATTTAATTTTATTTTATTATACTTAACAATGGGTTAACTCATTGGCAGAACATACCTTTGTCATTGAATATTAGATATAATAATAATATAGGATTAGTTGTTGAACTGCATGAATATTCTAAGATATTTTGTTCAATAGTAATTTTTTTCAAAATTTTATGCAGTAACTTATTTTATTCATTTAATTTATTGAAGTTTTATAAAAGACCTATCATATTAAAAAGTACATAATTAAATAAGCATAAAATGTCAACAAAACAGTCGAAATGAGATTTTAAAGTGTTTGTTCCTTTGCAAAGCGTTTTGTTCCGTTTTATTAAATAATATTATATTAATAAATATGCTTATATTATCAAGTATTCTTATTAAAACTTTGTAACAATTAAAATTTTTTAAGGACTTTTTTATTTTTTCTCAAGTTACACAAAAGTTAGTAAGCATTAATGATAGCTGATAATAAGTTTAAAATGTAGAACTCAGTTAATGCAATATACACAACAATACAGAAACTAATCAAATTCACTTCAAATAGCATATTTCAAATTTGTAGCATTTCTCGTTATTAATAATTTTTTTTATTTATTTATAAGTTCTATTAATTATTTCTTATTACTTTGAGGTCATTCTAAAAGTGTTTTAATTAATATTGTTTGTCATTAATATTTTTGTGCAATACCAGACATATATTTGTACATTTTTGAAGCTGCTTTGCAACTATAGCATTTGAAAAAAAAAAGACAGTAATTATTAATAATCAATAGTAATATTTTTTAATAACTTAATTTTATTACCGTAATGAAAATTTTTTCCCTTCTTCTTGTTTTTGGAAATTTTACAACAATTATGACCTAGTTTTTATCAAAAAGTTTTAAAAACGAAATAACACTGGAATTATTAGTTACTTCGTTTTAACTCAAAATAAATCCATCCAATTTTTAAATCGGCATTTAAATTGTAATAAATGACTATTACAAGTGTTTCAAAGTAAAAAATAAAAAAAGAAAGAAAAAAGAAGTTATTTTGAATATGAAGAAAGAAAGACTAACATTTTATTTTGAATTTTAGTTTTTATTTTACAGAACCAATCTAAGTAATTTTGGAACACTGTGTAATAGTAATAATATATATATGTGTGCATAAATTTAACTATCTTTATATTCCTTTCAATAAATTAATGCTATATAATCATTCAAGTTATTCAAAATTTGGGAGGGGGTATTACAATTAATAAGATAGTTTCAGCTTAATTTACAAGCGATTGAGAATTATCATTAAGAATTATCTAACATTCACAGTTACGCTATATTGATATCGATTTTATTGCGGGAGGGGAAAAATCACATGCGCTGAAAAGCAAATTGGATAATTTTTATCACTACGCTATCTGCCGGAACTTCAAGGTCTAATCACAAATCAAGAGGAAGAAAATAAAAATATCATCCTATCAAAATAATTTGACATCATTCTTGTTAAGAAAACATCTCGGCATCTCTCCCTCCTCATCAGCTGTTGCGAGGGTGGGTGGAGGTTGGGAGAAACGCGATGGTGCCCAGAGAAGGAGAGAGAGCGAGGTCAATGAACTTCTGACCGAGTAACGGGGGTGGGGGGAAAGAGGAGCTCAATAACCGATTTAATTTTTTCGCAACCAACTGACCCGTTCGCAGAACAATTGCCTGACTCGTCGCACGTCCGTGTCAATGATGTAGAGGGAAAAGTAAAAAAAAAAGCTGTAATTTGTGGGAAAAAAGACAAAAGGGAAGAAAAAATTCATATTATATGAGACTTATCTTTTTTTTCGCCTATTTCCTAAATTGAGAACTCGTGATTTTTTTTTTCTTGTCATGGGTGTTTTTTGAGTACTTAATATATCTGCCGTAAATTTGGAATTTCAAGGGAGTTTTTTCACACGACAGCTATGAGATATCACGAACAAAAACAAAACAAGAATACCATTTTGAAAATAAATGGTGTATAAAAGAAATTTTTTTCTTATTTCGCTGTTCACGAACTAAAATAAACAAGTATTTTTTGCACTTATTTTGAGATTAAAAGAGCACATCGTTCGAGATTATTTCATGCATTATTCCATGTTTTGAACTACTTATTTACACATTTGCAAAGAAATATTTGTAAAACATTTTTGTTTTCATTCAGCGATTCCTTAAAAGATTTGAGAGAAACGTGTTAAACTTCAAGGTTTCGTCGTCAGTAGTAAATTTGGTAAATTCGTCAGTATTGTCGATATTTTAAGGCACAAAATGTACTTTAAATGAAACTAAGAGAATATTTGAGTTCTTAATCGTTTTGAAAGGAATTTATTGTAAATTCAATAACAAAATATGTAAATATTTTGATTAATTTTTCCTTTATACATTTGAACAAAAAGATAACATAGTAGTTATCATAATTGTTACATTTCTGGATTTCTTGATAAAGTTATGACGATTAACAAGAACTTAGCATCGAAATTCTAACTTTCTAACAGACGTTGCCATTTTCTAATTTTGTAATCAGAATTCATTCTGCTAATAAATAAATAAAAGTTTGTAATTTTGTGCGAACTATACTGATGAATCCATTAACAACCTTTCATATTTTGCCTTCATTCTACTTTATACATTATTAAAATTATCTTGTATGATTATGCTTAATATGAAGAAAAAAACTGTCGTGCTTTACACTCAGACATAAGGAAATATATTCGATTTTAGTATTTCGCGGGAACCAGGATGGGAGGTCACGGAAGATCAGTGTGACCTCCCAAAGATTTTTACTATTCGACAAATTTTATCCAGCCATTCGGCATGCTTAGGAAATTTTAGATTCTCACTTTCATTTTTGTAGGAAACACAAATAAAATTAGTAAATATTGCATGTTTATTTTATTTTTTCAAATTAGTGAATAAAAAAGTATGCTGAAGCATCGTTTCAGGTACCCATTTCACAATTTTGTCTTCAACAAATCTAATCTCCTAATTGCTAATGAAATGCCCATTTGCCAATCACTTGTGTTGGTGCTCTTATTTACGAATACTTACTTACAAGTCAGTTTCTTCCAAAATAGAGAGATACAAATTAGTTCTTATTAATAGCTTTTAGTATTATTCATCAAGGAAATTGGCCACCACAGTATTTTTCAAACTGCGAACACCTTATTAATGTATAGTTGAAACAGTTGTTTGCTTAATTTGATTTGAGTACAAAATTTCAATACAAAAACAATTTAGTACCTTATAGTACTTAGATGAAATACTATTCTCCACCTGCTATTGAATTTCTTTACAGTTATCTAATACAAGTGTGGCCCTCGCGATTTTTTGAATTATTGTGAATTATTGTGCTGTGATTGAAGAGTAGAAGATCTCTACATTAAACTTAAAAACATGCTTATTTGTTGATATTATACTATACAAATCATACTTAATTTCTAAAATACCTAAATCTGCTCTTTTTTGAGAAATTTTTTTCTTGTGATAAAATTGTGATAGAATTTTCCTGTTATACGAATTACAATGATAACAGTTAGCATAAATTTCTTAAGTGTCTTTAACGCCACATTAATGATTATCAGATATCGTTAATTTAATTAGATATAATGGTGAGAAAGAATATTTTTAATCGAATTTCTTAAACACTGAATAAAATATCAAAGTATTAATTTTGCTAAAACTCAAAATATAGAAGTAAAATCATGGGGGGAAAGTAAGAAAAGTTGACAACTATGTAATTTATAACTTATACTTTATTATAGTTTAATCACCGAAAAATTGTTTTAGAATATATTTTGATGTTCCTTCATTATAATATTACAATTATTGTAGGCACTAATCTTTGATTCGGTCAAATTAATGATTTTATTCGACAAAATGAAAATACCCCTCCCAAAAATATAAGTTCACGGTCTTCCTTGCAGTATAATCTAAAATGCCTTTATTTTTAATACATTTTGAATGATTTTCAAAATATGCATTTCAATTTTTAGAAACCTAGATGATATTTTAAATTCCCCTTAGTTGCAATCATAAATTTCAAGAAAAAAATTAAAATCTTTTTTCGTATGCACAATATTGACACAAATATTGAATTTCATGCTTAACTTTGAATCTCGTCAACAATATTGAATTTCATCCACAATATTGAATTGACTAGAATTTAAAAACTCGCATTGAAACACTATAATTCAGTTTAAACTATGCCTTAAAATTTTTTGTTTTATATTTTTCCAGCTTCATTAAAAACTAAATAAAAGTTTACAACAATATCACGGGCTTGGTTTAAATAAGTGATTTTAAGATTGTTAAAATTCCCCTTTTATATCTTCCATTAAAATAAGTTAAAATTAGTTATAATTTTAACTATATCAAACTATAACAGTTTAAGTTTTTTTTTACTCCAAAAGTG